ACTTGATTATCATGCCTAGTAAACCAAAGCTTGTTTCGTATGAGTTGAAGGATTTGGTAGTTGCTTCCTTTGCTAGCTTATCTGCTAGTTCGTTCCCTTTCACCGATATGTGCCCTGGGACCCAATTCAAGGATATTTCTGCTCCTTTTGCTTTAATAGCCTTGGCTGCTTTGATTGCTCGTATTTGATATGCCTGGCCTGGGTAGTCTGATGGTGTTTTCAAACGGTATAGGCCTGCCTGATTATCTGAATATACTTTGAATTTATCGCCGTGTCGAGCAATTGAGCTTGCATATTCGATAGCTCTATTAACTCCACAAAGTTCTCCATTATATACTAATTGGTTCACACCAATATTGGTTTGCTCTTGATGTGAGATTCGATCGTTTGATTGTATTGCAACTATGCCTACACCAATACCAATACCTTTTAGCGTAGAAGAGGCATCGGTATATATATAAGTAGTATTCTCATCTCTATGCTTGAAGATTATATTGTGGAGAGTAGCAGCATCTTCTTTTGAAGAATTACTGATATTGACTCTGAATGGGATTTCCTTTTTCCATGGGGGAGAGTTGAAATGAATGATCTTTTCCAATAAGGAAGGATCAAAATCCTTACTTATTGATTCTCTGATTCTATCAAGTTGAATTGGCTTGTATAATTTTCTTTGAAGGGTAGGAATCACCTCCAAATCAGTTTGATATTGAGCTAATATTCCTTTTTCGATATTGATTGGATGATTTGGCGAAAGTTTGGCTAAACGGAACACATATTGCCTGATATTTGAATCTAATCTGATATTTGAAGGGCTTAAAGCTATTTCTACCTTTATTGGAAGGATTGGGGCTATTTTGAATATTTCTAGTATCTTGCAAAAGGCTAGGTTTTGAAGTGATTGCATCATATTCTTGAAATGGGTTTGATCCTTTCACTAAATGATTGATCCGTAATCTGCTATACTAGTAACACATGCTATATACAATTGTCTTAAGGCTTTAGGATTAAAGCCTTTCTCGATATTTGCTAATCTAGCTATTTGATAAAAAGCTCCTTTAACTTAAGTAATTCGGATATTAATATGTTGATTGAATTTAAGATTTGGATCAAACTATATTTCCAGCTATCTAATTAGTATTTGAGACTTAATTGTTTCAGAATTAGATAATATGATTAGATATTCTTTTGTTGATTTAGATATTGAGAAATGTATTAGTTCCGTTTTTGCTAGATCGAATTGAATAGCATTCTTTGCGCTTAATTCGTAGATTTGATATATTACTTTTTCTAAGGATTTAATATTCTTTTTCCAAATAGATGAATTGTAATTAAAGCAATATCATCTATATAGGAGAGGAATTTTACTGAATTGAATAAAAATAGATCTCTAATATATATAAAGAAAAGGATTGGAGAAATTGGACTACCTTGTAGTATTCCAGTAGTAATTGGTTTGAATAATTCGATTTGATTATTGAAGGATAGTTTGAGCTTTCTCTGTTGAAGGAATGAAGCGATCCAGGATATAAGATTTATAGGTAGTTTTAACCTTTTACAGATATCCAAAAACCGATTTTTTGAAACATAATCAAAAGCTCCTTTTATATCTATAAATAATACTGAAATCTTTTTGTTAAATTGTTTATTTCATTCGATTTCTATTATTAAAAGTAATACTGTATCGATTATTGATTTCTTTTGTTGATCTCCGATTTGACTCTTATAAAGTAAATAAGTAATTTCTGCTAAATAGCCTAATCATTGAACTAGAATCCTTTTGTTTATTTTCCCTAGATAATTTAATAATATAATAACTTTATATACTCTTGGGGCTGAATAATCAGACTTTGAAGGTTTCTTTAAAATGGCTTTAATAGCTTGTTTCCAACATATTGGATAATATCCAAGATTGAGTAATTTGCTGAATAAGATAAAGAAGATATATAATGTTCCTTGATATACTTTAATAATAATTTTTTAAGTGATTCCATTTGAATCAGAGGTTTTCCCCTATATTTTTGCAAAGCAGGCATTACTCAATTCAATTTGAGAAAGACTAGGCCATTCCCACTTTTTGTAATGTTTATATTCTTCTTATTGTGATTCTGGGGTAATAGGAAAAGGTGGGAAAAGAGTCGATCTGAAAACAGAGTATTTTTCTTCAAAAGAGCTTTTCATTGAAATATCCGGTATTCTTTGATCTTGAGAATCCTTTGTATATATTATTGTTTTAAATATAGTTTATATATCTTTCTTCTTTAAAAACTCATTTTAATGATTCTTTTTTGCAATTTTGATAATTTGGAAATACTTATTTCTAGCTATTCGATATTCTTTCTTGAAGATAGAGTTTTTTGAATTTGATTTAATCAATAGTTTTGATTTTCCTAGCTCTTTTCGGAGACTTTTCAGTTCAGGTGTTCACTATGGTTTAGTCTTTTTATTCAATCTGATTTTAGGTATACATTTCTTTGTTGCCTCTATAATAATCCTAGTAAGTTCACTAGCTGTCTAGTTTAGGATTGACAAGTAATTGTTTCTTTCTTTTAATAATTT